TTTTTTTTTTTTTTTTTTTTTTTTTCGATCTCTTCCTTTCGGTTCGAGTCTTTTGTGTTTCTCTTGGGTTTCATCTCTAGCCTACCCCGACTTGCGTGGGACTAAAGGCTATGTTGTTGTTGTTTTTGTTGTTGTTTTTTTTTTTCCTATTATCCAATTCAAAGACAATAACTCAAATCAAATAATTTGTTATAAAAAAATTTTCTCTTCCTGTATAACTCTAGATTTGTTGGACTGTAGAATCTCTTGAGATCAGAAGTACTAAGATGAAAATTATAAAATAATCACATTACGATCACTTTCCCCAAGCATGAGTAAATATAATATCTAATATCTTACTTGAGTTGCAGGACCAATTCTTGCTTCTATGGCTGCAACTTATTCATCAGCCGAGTGGGCACTTGAAGGTGGTGACCCATGCCTTCCAGCTCCATGGTCATGGGTCCAGTGTAATTCAGATCTCCAACCAAAAATAACATCAATGTATATATTCTTCTGCTTTTCATCTTCTTTTATTATTTAGTATTATTTTTTTTTATAAATGTGATGAAAAAGGACTTTCAGTTCCGAAACTCCAGAATGGTGTTGCGTGTGTTACATAAACTCGTAGAAGTTTCTAACTTCTGAATTATTGTAATTTGATTTAATAGTTGATAGTATGTACGATGCATGATTATCTTGCTTGTGATTTGTGCAGTAAACTTTCGGGGAAGAATTTGACAGGACCTATTCCGGAAGATTTGACAAAGTTGACTGATCTAGTTGAGTTGTAAGTTGTCGATTGCTTGAGGACCACAATTAGATGATTATTGGTTGTAAATTTCATTGCTCATACATATGTAAATTGCAGGTGGCTCGATAATAACTCGCTGAATGGTTCAATTCCTGATTTTTCTGGATGCCCCAACTTGAGAATAATGTGAGATTTAATCAAGCATTTTTTTTTTAATTTTTTTTTCACACTTATATTTTGTTACAGCAACTGACAACCCTTTTTGTGGCAGACATCTAGAGAATAATCAGTTGACCGGTGATCTGCCTTCTTCATTGGGAGGCCTTTCAAATTTGAGAGAATTGTAAGTTTGAAGGGCTGAAATACAAATATACAATCATATAATTAGCCTTTTACAAGAAATTTGTATAACTTAGATGCAAATTTAGTTGCCATATGGAAACTCTTTTAGAGGTATTATTTCGAAAACAAATATATCAAAGTGATGCAGAAGAAATATTAGTTAAAACTGTAGTTTTAGTCCATTATTTTTGTATTTGTCTTCACTACCTATAACTTTAGGTTATAATCATTTCCGATGCTTATAACGACTCATTTTGCAGGTATGTTCAAAACAATAGGCTATCAGGAAATGTCCCATCTGGTCTTCTTAATAGAGATATGAGTTTGAAGTGAGTATTCTATTCATATAGTCCATTGTTTCAAGACTTTGATATGACAATTTTGTTTGTTATAGATTAAAAAATCAAATTATTAACCACGTATATACTATAGCTATACTGGAAACCCGGGTCTTCACAACAAGGGCAAAATAGAGAACCATAAAAAAATTATACTAGGAACTTCAGTAGGAGCTGCTGTTCTGCTTATTGCTACCGTTGCAGCTTTTTTCTTATTGCCGAAAAGAAAGAAAAATCCTAAACAAGGTTAGTACATACACAAACTATTACAAGTTTCACGTTTTGTATTGATGAACTTAGGTAGTTATTATTAATTTAAGATTTATTTTTATTATGTTAATTTTTGCCTNTGTGTGTTTTTGTGGCGTAGGAAAATTGCAACACGGTATGTCTGTTCAAAAGCCCGTGTCTGATAGTGCAACTGAAGCTGCACATTACTTCTCATTATCTGAAATCGAGGCTGCTACAAATAACTTTGAGAGGAAAATCGGTTCAGGTGGATTTGGGGTTGTATATTATGGGAGACTGAAAGACGGAAAGGAAATTGCGGTCAAAATATTGACTAATGATTCTTTCCAGGGCAAGCGAGAATTTTCAAATGAGGTAGGTACTTAATAATTAATATCAATTATTTTTCGTTCCTTGCACTACTATTTGATGGCTCATTTAGTCCTTTCTTAAAGCAGCAGTTTTGTTAAAATAGCATTTGTTATATCTTCTTTTTTCTTGACCTTCGGCTTTATAACTAATTTTGTTTGTGCCGGTTAACTTCATTGTGTCTGTGCAAATGATTGGCTTAGTTTTCTGAAATTAAATGAATTCTAATACACCTCGATACTGAATCTTTATGCCAAAAAAAACAGGTCTCTCTTCTTTCAAGAATACATCATAGAAATCTCGTACAGTTTCTTGGATACTGCCAAGAAGACGGTAAAAGTATTCTCGTTTATGAGTTCATGCACAATGGGACTCTCAAGGAGCATCTTTATGGTACATATCGTTCTTTTTTCGTTCTTTTTCTTTTTCACTTCGGAATTGAATTTATTAAACTTTGTTCAACTTAATAATATATCTTACGGTAGGGCCCTTAACACATGGAAGAGGTATTAATTGGATGAAGCGCCTTGAAATTGCTGCAGATGCTGCAAAAGGTTAGTTTAGCCGAACCGAAAAAAATCTGGTGTTGATACCTATTAAATCAACTAAAATTAAAATTGCATGCATAAAAACAACATAACAATAATCGCGTAAAGGTGTTCTCCTTATTGCTTGTTTTAGGAATCGAGTACCTCCACACTGGCTGTGTCCCGTCGATTATCCATAGAGATTTGAAAACGAGTAATATTCTTCTCGACCAGAACATGAGAGCTAAGGTTTCGGATTTTGGCCTCTCGAAACTAGCAGTCGATGGAGCTTCTCATGTGTCGAGCATAGTTCGAGGCACCGTTGGTTATCTTGATCCCGAGTAAAACTTTCTCTCTCTCACACACACACACGCACGCACACACACACACACACACACACACACACACTCAGGACTTTTAGGGCGCGATTGGCTACAGATTAAAACCGGTTTTGACCGATCGAATAACTTTTTAACACTTTTTAACTCAATATTCAACTCAAATTTGATCCAACCCAACTCTCCTCAATATTATCAATATAATTAAACAATACCAATCAATCATCCTCAGTTCCAGATCATATCAACTGTAATTCACTATTCATCTACTAAGTACCTATCATTTCCAATCACCTCTCTCCTACTTTTACGTCACATCAACTTTATATTATTTAAATACAAACTCAGAATCTCACTCAATCAACTTTATTTAAAATTAACTCACTTCTAACTTAAAATCCAATCAAAATTGGTTTTGATTTATATCCAATCGCTCCCTTAGCTATTATTAACTTATTTTGTGCTCTAATTTTATCACACTTATGTTTCTCCTACTTTCATGTTATGCAGGTATTACATCTCCCAACAATTGACAGATAAAAGCGACGTTTATAGTTTCGGGGTCATCCTTCTCGAGCTAATTTCCGGTCAAGAAGCGATTTCTAACGAAAGCTTTGGCCTCAACTGCAGAAACATTGTCCAATGGGTAAACGTTCTTGATACTCTAGAGATAATTTTACAAAAGCCAGTTTAAGATTATTTTGGTCCAATTAAAAGAAGACCCACCTAGTTGAAATACTTCATGATTAAAGCTAAAACTCATGAAACAAATGTTGCAATTATGACACACTCGATTATTTCAGTGCTAATTTTTTCTTTTTATTTTTTTCAACGGGCAGGCTAAAATGCATATCGAGAGTGGGGACATACAGGGAATTATAGACCCCACGCTGCACGAATACGATATCCAATCCATGTGGAAAATAGCCGAGAAAGCATTGATGTGCGTGCAGCCCCATGGAAACATGAGGCCCTCGATTTCTGAGGTCATAAAGGAGATTCAAGATGCAATCACGATTGAGAAAGGTACCGAAACTGTTAGGGAAGGAAGCTCGGACGAGATTTCAAGGCATTCGGTACACTCATCTTTAAACACAGGGTCTATGGATATGGGAGCCAGTGATCATTATTTGTCCATTGATGATTCTATTGCGCGGCCTGCTGCTCGATAGGACTGTGTATTTTATTTTTTTTATTTTTT